GAGTTGGGAGCAGATAAAAGGTTAAAGGAATGTACAATAAAAGCATATGAAGGCTGGGGCTTTAACTGGGTTTGATCCTTAGCACCACATGAAAATTAATAAAGATACTGTGTGTTTAACTAAAAATGCATACGGTGTGAGTGCTTGGAAAGGAGGTGTGGTTGGTCAGAGAAGTCTTCATAGAAGTTTGAATCATGGTGGATAACTAAATTAATTTGAAATATTTGCTGCTTACTGTATAGAAAGGAGTAAAGGCAGGGCTTATACATGTTACCCATTAAGATGGGGAGGTGTGGGCTGGGGATGTGGCTCAGTGGTAGAGTGCTTACCTAGCATGCCTGAGGCACTGGCTTTGATCCTCAGTACCAGAAAGAGATGGGGAAGTACAGGCCCTATACACTGGGCCCTCTGTGCTAACCCCTCCCCAAAGTTTTTAAAAATTATTTATTTACCTTAATTTGTTATATATGACAGCAGAATGCAGTTCAATTCATGTTACACATGTAGAATTTTTCATGTCTCTGGTTGTACACAAAGTAGATTCAAACAGTTCGTGTCTTTAAACATGTACTTAGGGTAAATGTTGACCATCTCATTCCACCAACTTTCCTACCCTCCCCCACTCCTCCCTTCCCCCACCCAATTTTTTTTTTTTAAGAGAGAGTGAGAGAGAATTTTTAATATTTATTTTTTAGCATTTGGCGGACACAACATCTTTGTTGGTATGTGGTGCTGAGGATCGAACCCGGGCCGCACGCATGCCAGGCGAGCGCGCTACAGCTTGAGCCACATCTCCAGCCCCCCCCCCACCCAATTTTTAACAAGCAATTTACATACTGCTCTGCCTGGCTTAAGTCAATAGGATATGTTATATACCTCAGAAAACAACCAGTTATTTGCAGGAGGAATGTAGGCCTGAAATTCCAATAACACAAGTTACCCTAAAGGGGGAGACTTTAGTGACCTTTATGCAGACCGGATTCCAGAATTCAGGGAGATGAGAATTCCCCCAAACCATAAAACCTCTAAGAACAGGTTCCAATTAGAACCAGTTATCATGGGCCAAAGTGATCTAGCGTTGTCATGCATAGTGGAAACTTGAAAGTCTGAAGTCACCCTGCCATCAGTCAAGAGTTAGGAAGTAGACAAGAGCAGAACTCTCTGGAAACTTCCCTGGGACCCCAATAAAACTGGAGAGCAGGAGAGGCACACCATCCCTGTCTTCTCTGTGACCCAGTCTCGCCTTTGAGAGTATCTCCTTTTCCCTTTCCCTATTCAGCAGTAAACTCATGCCTGCTACTCTGAGCGATGTCTGAAAGTTTTCTGGCATGATTGCAAGAACTGAAGTGAGAGAGGGCTGCCATGGCTGACTCAGCTTGGTGGCAAGGTATCCTGTAACAAGGTTGGTAGCTACTCAGTCATTTAAATAGATAAGCAGGGAAAAGATAATGAAGGGTAACTGAAAGCCACAGGGAGGCACATCTGACAGATATGTACCTGGAAAATGGAAGCTTGATATGTTAAAACCTCACCCAGTCTTAATAAAGAAAATATTATCTCTTGTAACCAAGTATCCAGGAACTTTTTAATCACCAATACTAAGTCACAACCCTCAACCTCCCCATAGCCAAAACATCAACCCTCACAAAGAAAGCTTGATGGGAGCTATTCAAAGGATAAAAAACTGATTAAGGACACTGAGTCAAAAAGAGAGGAACTGGAAATTGAGACAAAAACAGGGGACTCAATTTCCTTAAAAATTCCAACTCTGAGCATAATACCTCTCTCTTAGAGGTAGTCCATGCAGTTTACATACTGTCAAAAAAAAAAAAGTCTAAAAGTGGACTTGGGCAGGGCGCTGTAAACTTCCCCAGCTCCCAATAAAATCAAAGGGCAGGATTCCTTCTAATAAGGCTCACGCCTGTAACTCTGAGCAACGGGCCTGAAATCTTTCCAGCCTAATCACAAGAATCTGGGGTTGAGAAGCCTTTGCACTACTTGTTTCAAGAAGGCCCCAGCTATTTAGAAGGCTGAGGCAAGAGGATCCCAAGTTCAAAGCCAGCCTGGACAACTTGGTGAAACCCTATCTCAATAAATTAAGGAGGACTGGGGATGTGGCTCAGTGATAGAAGGACCTGGACTCCATCCCAACACTGCAAACTAAGTGGGGGAGGGTAAGTATAAGGAGTTATGCCAGGGAGACAAAAGATTAAGTAGGAAAGTATTTCAGAAATGTACAGAAGTTACTGGATCGGATTCAACTAAAAAAGCGGGGGATGGATCCCCTCAAATGTTTCAAGCCTGCAGGATTTAGGATGCCAGAAAGCATGTACTTAACTATCCACCTAATATAATGCTTGTGTTGAAAAAAGGAACTTTATTCCAGAACCTTGGGGTTTTAGCTGAGGTTCAAGTCAGGTCACTAGCCCACTGACAGGGTCCAGCTCCTGTAGTATCCCGCAAGGACCCAGCATGAAAGCAGCCTTCCCAATTTCTTCAATGCAGAATATCACACCCCTCCCCTCCTAGAAGAGTACCAGAATAGCTGCTTCAAAATATGCCTCTTTAGCATATGGATTGAGCTAAAGSTCATGAGAACCAAAGGGCCAGAGAGAATGCTCTCAAAACAGGGAAGAGATTTTTCCTTTGGTAAAGGAAATTTACATTTGTAAAGGTATAGTTTTATCTATGGAGAAAGCACTAGCTCAAATCTGCATAACAAGCTTCACGAACAGAGCTTTCTACCCAGAAGCCCCAACCCCCTTCTGCTTTGCATAGCCTAAGACAGTATAAAGCCCAGATTGTTATCACTGCTTGTACAGCCTAGGTGACCTAGCTGAATTTTACCCCACCCTAATATTTGAGGACTAGATGTCTGAAGGCCAGAAGTCCCTCTTCAGGTAGGCTATCAGAAAACATGCTAGGGAGAGCATCAAATGATCTCTAACTTCATTATAACCTCATCTGCTTGCTAAATGACAACCCTCCCCCCAGCACCATGACAACTGATAATTGTGCTTGAATTCTCAGAAAATCTCCACCCATCCCCAGAAGATATCACCTCCTTCTCCTTCATTTCTTTTGCCCTATATCTATAATCTCCCAACCCCCAACAGGTAAGAAGTTGCTTTGCAAGTGCATCTCCCACTTTTCCTATTCCTGGCCAATAATCAAGTCTCCTCCACTGCTCAATTGGAGCTTTAGGCTTTATATTGGTTCAATAATTCGAAGAGGTAAAAAGGATCCAGCCTTTGGGGTCAAAAATTGGTAATATCACAGAGTGTAGTGGTACATGTCTATAATTCCAATGGAAGGTCATAAGAACAGCATCAGCAATTAGTGAGCCCCTGACAACACAGGGAGACCCTATTTCAAAATTTAAATTTTTTTTAAAGAGCTGGTAACAGCTCAGTGGTAAAGTGTCCTAGGATTCAATCTTTAATACCAAAAAAGAAAAAAAATGGTAATGCCATTTGTACACATACAAAGCATGTTAGTAAACTTCTATTTTGGATTTTGGCACGAGGAATTGAACCCAGGTGTATTCTAGCACTGAGCCACATCCCCAGACAGGGTCTTGCTAAGTTGCTTAGGGCCTCACTAAGTTGCTGAGGCTGTTTTCGAATTTGTGATCCTCCTGCTTTAACCTTCAGAGTTGCACCACCATGCCCAGCTTTCTCTTGTTAATGTCTTTTACCAATCTAATTTACAGGGTCTCAGCTGGGGACCTAAGATGGGTAGATGGGTAGATAGGTATAGGAAACAGATTTTTTTCCCTCTCCAATACCCTTTGACACACACACCTCAAGATGCACATGCATGATACATAAATGTTCCTCACTTTGCTGTACTCACAGTCCCTAGAAGTGTCCCCATATAGGCTTTCACCTGTGTTCCACCGCAGCTGCCAGGATGCTAGGTATCATCTGCCATGAATCATTACTGTGGTTCCATAATTCTAAGAGGTAAAAAGGATCCAGCCTTTGCAGTCAAAAACTGGTAATATCACAGAGTATGGTGGTACATGTCTTACTCCAAGGGGCATATAAGTGGATTCTATATTGTTTAAGTATTTTGAATATCACCTATTAGAAGTCCAGCTGTCATGTGATATGAAGCCCATATTGATTGCCCTTAAGTTAATGGACCATAAAAAAGCCAAAAAAAAAAAAAAAAAAAAAACCAGAATTCTCTGCTCAAAAATCCCAAGAAGAAAAAACAGTTTGCCTATCTAGGATGGCCTAAAACTAATAAGGACCATGGGAGGATCCATAGTTGACAGGGCCATCTTCAACACTGTAGACAGAAAGGCCAGGTATGTGACAACAGCTGGCCCTGAAATTTCCACAAGGAATAGGGGGCCTCATAAAAGACTGAATGCCAGCAAATAAACAGACCGGGGTGGTCAACTTCAGAGGAGACAAGTAGTGGAATGAGCCTTAAAGAACACTGGCTTTGGAGTAAGCAGGTTAGACCCATGGATTATTTTCATAAAGGAGGCTGCAACAATATATTTATCCCACTCCATGTGTGGTGTTTATGGTGTGATAAATTCTGTATTTCCACCCCGTGAATCTGACACAGGCTTATAACTACGCAGACCAATAGGGCAGAAGCCCTGCTAGTCATTTCCAAAGCTTCAACAGGAAAAAAGATAATACGTACTCTCTTTTCTGTACCTCTCTCGCTGACACTCACCTTTAGAATTCAGTCACCACATCATGAAGAATCCCCAGGCCACACAGAAAGCCACGTGTAAAGGTTCCAGCCCACAGCCCCAGTCCAATTCTCTGCTGAGCCAAAACCCACCTTTCCACACTGAAGGAATTTTCACATGACTCCAGTTCCCAGTCTTCAAACCTTCTAGCCACTGTGGAGTAAGTAGCCTGTCTCAATTTCTGACCCAGAAATTTTTTGTTGTTTAAGTGACTTTGGGTAATAAGTTACACAGCAATTGATAATAATGCACAGTTTAAACACTGATTTTTTTTTTTTTTTCTTATTAGCTGTATGACACTGCACAGGATTCTTTCTTTACCAGGCCACAGTCTCCTTGCCATCTATTGAGCATTCAACCCCCTCCCCCCAGGGTTGTCCTGAGCACTAGAGCTAATGACAGAGATGCCCAGTGTTCCTGGTTGGTCTCTTACACTATCTCAGTTTTTTATTTGTTCATCTTCACTGGTCATCATCCCATCATGGGAACATGTGTCCCATGCAAACCATCTTGTTCACTTCTCTGCTTCAGTGCCTAAAAATGCACCCACCACAGCATCTTGCCCAATCAACACCTGTTGATGGATGGAAAAGACAATGAAAATCACACAAGAGCAAAAGTGTTCATGAAATGCTCCCTAGTGAGGCATAGTGATGCATGCCTACAGCCCCAGGAGCTCAGGAGGCAGAGGCAGGAGGATCTCAAGTTAAAGCCCGTCTCAATAACTTAGTGAGACCCTGTCTCAAAATAAAAATTTAAAAATAAGCTGGAGATATGGCTCAGTGGTTAAGTGACCCTGGGTTCAATCCCCAATACAAAAAAAGAAAGAAAGAAAGAAAGAAAAAATGCTCTCTATACACGACAGGAACTAGGGCAGGGTGGCAAGAGACCAACACAGAGGAGAGCAGAGAATACCAAGTCCTGGCATGCAATCAGGAGTCTGGGATGTTTTCAAGTCAGAAAGAGACCTGATGCCAAAGGGGGAATCCTACCCTGAAGCAGTGCAGGAGATGCAGAGCCTGCCTCAAGACCAGAATGAGGGAAGCAACTAATGCCTGAACTACAAAGCAGTGGCCTCACTGCCCAGCAACTCATCCCCTCACACCTTTTGCATCAGGCACCTCTGCCAGTTCTACTGTTTGGCTTTGTTTCTGCCCTCCTGCTAGCAAAGAGTATCTGGTTCACCCTAAGCCACAGAAGAACAACTGACCCTTTACTTATAATTTACACCCCATCTAAGTGCAATGCAAGTTTGAAGTGGTAATTTGGATCTTTTAGGTTCTACCTAGGCCTGATACATAGCTCCTGCTGCTGTTTCTAAAGCCAACTGTTCATTTTCACGCTGCAGGTTTCTCTACCCCATAGACTTCTTCCCCTTTCCTTGAGAATATTCCACTGTGGGAAGAAAGGAAACTCAAATTAACTCCAACTGATCTGAGGTGGATAATCACAGTGAAAGGTTTTTCAAATACTGACCTAAGATTTAAACTACCCATAAACAGGACAATGAAATGACAGGGTCCAATCACCCTTACAGCTCTTGTGCAAAAAAGTGAGATGAAAATCAATGCCCAAGTGAAAGGGAAAAGTTATCTCCAAAAAGACACAAAGACTTATAAAGTTCCAGGCAATTTTTTTTCTCCCTTGGCCATTTAAATTTTTTTTTTTTTCATTTTGATTGCAAATTCTTCCCAAGATGCTCAGACTTCCTTAAACAAAGATGTATAAGGTTGGAAACACTCAGGCCAAATCATCCAAAACCTTTGAGCAGTCATCATTCTTTTGTTCTAACTTCCTGGGAAGGAAGAGTGCTCACATCTGTTCAGCCACCTGCTCCAGGCTCCCAATACATACCCACACTGTCAGGGAATCCATGAAACAGTAGTGACAGAGGTAAGCATTTACCCAACATATAGCATGGGCCTGAATGCATAATTAACCTAGTCCTTGCATCCACCATATGAAAAAATATATGGCTGTAGTTACTATTCTATCTTCACAAATGAGGGCATGAAGAATAAAGATAAAGGATTTTTTTTTTTTTTTTTTTTTTTTACATATAGTGGGATCTGATACCCTAGCAGTCTGATTCCAGAGCCCACACTTTTAACCAATAATGTCATCTTTCACTAATCTCAGCCTTAATCATGTCCTACTTTGCCCTGCTAAGTCCTCAGTGGATCAATAAAACACCTCTTTCCACCCCTTTGCTTCAAAGCCTTTTCATTAACTTGGAGCTCTCTGAGCCTCCCTCCTTGGATGGGAGCCGGCTCTGTTCACAGTACAGAGGGTGAGGTGCTGAGTCACACTGTTCACTGGTTTATTGAGATTCAGGAAGATCCTTCCTGGAGAGACACCACAGTGTGAAAGGGGCGCCACCTCCCGCCCCATAGGTCCATCTGTCCATCAACAGTCAGAGGTACCTTCCATGGTCGGAATTCTCTTCATCTATTCATTGGAAACAGTTCCCCAAACCTGCCCCCATTTTTTTTTCTTAGCTTCCGCAAAAAAGGAAAAAAAAAAATTAAAGGGAGCGGTCTTGAGAGGATGATTGTGTGTGCAGATTTGAGGGTGGTGCAGGAGTGAATACCAAGGAGGGAGGGGGAAGTATGAGTGGAAACTAAACATGACAAGCAGACAGTGAGGATGGCCCTAGCAAACACGGATTGGGGGAAAGTGCATAATAATGTGCAGGGAGGTTACATATGGCTCTGCTGGAAGAATAMTGTGCAAAGAGAAGGTATAAGGGTACATTGAGGGTAGGTACACAGGAAAAATATAGATAAACATGAATGTGTGCAAGTAGAAAGACAAAGTTTAGCATGCTAGACAAATGGAACATCCTACCCAGACTCACTTGAGGCAAACCCATGACCACAAGAGGAGAACACATAGCTGTGACTGCAGCATGACAAAGCACATGGGTCAAGCACACGTGCACAGGAGCACCAGTGGCACAAGCAAGAGAAGAGCAGATGCATAAGAATGAGCACACACAGAGTAGAGGCAAGCAGCATTCAAGCTCTGGGGGAAAAGAATGAATCCCCAAAAGAAGCAAAATTTAAAAGGAAAACGTGGGAACATGTGGAAGGGCAAGTAGGATGAGAGGAAGGGAATTATGATGGAGAAGCCCCTGCTGGGGTGGAAAGAGCACTAGTGGGGAGAGACCCCTGCTGACAGAAGCAGAGAGAGCATAGCACAAACAGGATGGGAGCTGCAGGGTTGCCGTGGTAACTGGACAGAGGGCTGTCATGGGAGACAAAGATGTAGTGAGGCTGCTGAGGAGTCATGACTGAGTAGCTTCAAGTGAGGCACAAACTAAATTATAAAGTAGTGATATAAAATTATATCAATGAATAAGATAAAAAGATCTATTTCCCAGAGTATTTGGAGACTCAAATAACCCCGGGACACACAGAGGGACATGAATTTACAAGAGATGGAACTGACAGCATGTTCTTTCCAACTGAGGATAGGGGTCCCCTGCTTCCAACCCAGTCCCCCACCCTCTCCCCTCTTCCTTTCCCTCCCCTACTGGGCCTGTCCTCCCTGATACCCCTTCACTTGTAAAGCAAATGGACTCGACTCCCATCACAGCTAAGACGGTCAGGGGGCTCTGGGGGTCCCCTAGGTAGGCCCCCAGAGGGATCTGGGGGTGTTGGGGGGTGGCGCCGGGAGCGGAGCTGCTGCCGAGACTGGAGCTGATGGCGCAGTTCAGAGACTCGCTCCTCTTTCTGGAGGAAGAAACACAATTGGGAGAACAGGAAAAGGGGAGGTCGTGAGGCAGGGGAAGGAAAAGTGAAGAGTGGGTGGGGGATAGAATAAATTGAAAGAAAAAAATTAAAATGTGGAATCAAGAAAAGAACATAACAGGAGCACCAACAAAAGAAAAGAGATCAGGGAAATGAGATTAAAACAAAAGGAGAAAATGGAAAAGAGAAGAGTCAGTACACAAAGGCTCTAATAAATCACATGGATATTTATGTAAACCCAGTTGGAATATCTCCCTCTTTGGCACTGAACTAACCCCTAACTGCAGCCTGGGGCACAGTGGACACTGTGGGCACCTGCCCAGACCTCCTTTGCTGTGGGCACATTTAACACCCAGCTGTGAGTATTGGCTGCTAATGGTTCACAGCTGCTTCCCACTGGTTGCTACGCAGCACCGTGGACARCCACCCCTTGCCTCAGGAGTGTCAAATCAACAATGCAGCTCCCACTCCACTTCATCAGATAAACACTAGATTTTAGCTAAGACAGACTCTTGCTCAATCCTGTTCCCTTCCCTATCCTGCTCCACTCACTCACTCCCTTGCAGGGTTTCTGAGACCCTCCCTCCATAAAGCATGAACACTTGAACCTACATATCAGGCTCTACTTCAGACAACCAGACCTAAGTTAGAGTCCTTCTGGACCCTGGCCATCATCCATATACCTCAGCAATGATCTTTTCCAGTTCACGGTTTTCCTTCTCCAACAGGCGGGACTTCTCCTCCTCATTGTTGTTGGTAGATGACCCTGTCTTCATGGTGTCCTGTGCCTCAGACTGCCATTCCCCTCGGGTGATAAGCCTGCGCATCTGAGGGCAAATGTTTGGGCATGGGATGGCGGAGCAGGGGCTGTGTCAGTGATCAGAGGGTGGTGGGTAGGAGTAGGAAGGAATGAACAAAAGAGGAACAAGCTAGACCCAATACAAGGGAAGGAGTGGGAGGAGGGTGCAGGGAAGGGCAGGGAACAGAGTCCTAGGAAGAAAGGATATAAGGGGCATGGGACTAGAGAGGGCAGGAGAAGAGTCAGAAAATCACCTTGGGCACAAAGAGCACAACCAGAGTAATATAGGAAGAGAACACGATGGCAAGAGAAGCGAAGGCAAAGGCTGCATCCTGTTGGCTGGACAGAATCATGGTGACGGGAGCAGTGATGAGGCACAGGACCTGGGGATCAGAACATATGTAAAGAGACTCAGATCTGCAGGCTCAGATGGGATCTACTAGAGTCTTCTTCCCTCAGGAAGGATCCTATGAGGATGAGATCCTGGTGAATTTTCCATAAATCCAGAATCATTCTCAACTCTAGATTAACAAAAATGCCAAAGCACAGTGGTGCATGCCTGTAATCCTAGCAACTCCAGAGGCTGAGGCAGGAGAATTACATGTTTAAGGCCAGTCTCAGCAACTCAGCAAGACACTGTCTCAAAATTAAAAGAAAAAAAAAGGGTTGGGGATGTGGCTCCATGGTAAAAAGCACCCCTGGGTTAAATCCCCAATTCCAAAAAATAAAAAAAGAAAATTCAAGTTAAAATTTTAAAAATGCCAAATAAACTGCACCAAACAAGTCCTCAACTCTAGGTTAACCCCTCTCCCCAAGCAGAAACTCCCAGGATCTCTCTGCACCCATTCAGTCAGCCCCTGGGGACTCCTGGGAGGAATAGTGTACTCCGATTTCATCCCATGAAACACAGACAAGCAATTTAACATCTCTGCTTGTTTCCTCACCTATACATCTATTTCACTGGGTAGATGCAAGAAAATTAATGATATAATATCTATACTTAGCTTTGTAAATCAAACATAAGCAAACTTTTCAACACTCCCACACAGTGATACCAGAAATGGTGCCTGATTCTCCCTAGGCCACCACATCTCAGTTGCCATCCATGGTCATCATACAGGATCAATGCCAGGCATCCAGGGAGCTTACCGCCACATTGTAGATGGCCATGCCAACAGCCCTGTGATCGTTGATCTTCTCAGTGGACACGCTCTTGGTTTCATAAGCCAAAAAGATTCCCAGCAGCAGCAGCAACCCCTTGTAACCATAGAAAATACCTAGGATAGCAGGAAAGGGTCACCTGGGCATCAAGGACCTTCATGCTACTCACTCAATCTTTGTCCTCTCTCTTTGCCCATCACTCACTAATGCTCCTTCTTGGAGCCTCTCAATGGAAAGGGAGATCTCCTCTCCAGTCTAGCTACTTTGACCTAGCAAGCACTCCCTGTGATGAATGGACACATTTCACACCAGAAAATGGTGCTCATCAATATCTGTCAGTCAGGCAAAAGCCTGATTGGCCAGCAGGAAATGGGCCAGATTAGGCCATATATAACGTCTCACCCCTTTCTCTCCAGGGGGAAGATGGCTTTCCAGGCTAAGGGCATATTTACCAAGTGTGGTTACAGATCAAAGAAACGTTAATAAGGCCAAAGGGAGCCTAAATCCATGCATGACCTCACAATCCTGGTCTTACTTGAAGGAGGTGAACAAATACAGATGGGGGTCAAGCCAGGGGATGGGGTTATCTCCACTGATAAAGAACAGAAGTTCTTCTTCATCCCTGCTTTGTATCCTAAGCTCTTCATAGCAAAGACCAACTCTCCACTATTCTCAAAAAAGATTAGCACAATAACAAAGAGAAGAACAGTAAAATTGGTTGACAAGCTCTCTGTCTCTTCTCCCAAAGACACTTTTCCCTTCAAACCTAATGTCCTTGCCCATTCCTCCTGCTTCTGCTGCAATTTGCCCTCCTCTCCTCCACATTCACACACCAAGCCATGTATTCATCTTCTTGGAGCTGCAGTGCTCCAGCTGGGGCAGAATAGAGACGTCAATGTCTTCCTTTGGTTCCTCCTTGGCAAAAGTCTAGGGGAGAAAAGGGACCACAAGGAAGATGGATGGTTGCCCTCCTCCCCTACACTCTCCATGTGTAGCTTTGTCCCTCAAGAATACACACAACCTTGGGGACACTGACAGACAGGGGCTCAGCCTCCTGACCCCAATACCTCCTCTCAAGTGGTACCTCAATGGTCCGGTGCAAGGGGTCCACGATCTGCCAGATGGCAAGAGTAAGGATATCCATGCCCACCAGCAGGCCCACTGTGGCATACAGCTTCCAGGGCTCCAGAGTCTGAGCAAACATTCAGAGAAGGGAGGTCAGGAGAAATTCTCTAAGCCCCTAGAGCCAAGGAGCAAAGGATGGAGACTGAGAAGCAGCTCACCTTCCTCCACTCCTTCTTTTCCTCCTTCTTTGTGAAGACTGTATGGACCCACCAGATCTTGGTGAACATGGAGCCATAGCCCAGACTAAAGCCCAGGCCTAGGAGCCAGAGGCGGGCCTAGAAAGGGAGAGAGGGCTCAGACAGAAGGGGGCAGAGTAGGGGGTAGGGCTTCGGTGAGGATGTTCAGGGCTGTAGGAGGGAGTGTGGGCAGTGAGCAGACGACAAAGCAGGCAGGACGCAGTCACCAAGTAATGAGGTGTGTGGGGAAAAGAGCACAGGGCAGGTCTCCCTACTTCCTACCATCCCTCTCATCCATCTTATAACTTCTCCACAACCAGAGCAATTTTACTAAAATTACTTGATTATTCTCCAATGCCTACAGGTGACAGCCTAAACACCTTCAGGTGTGACAAGAACCCTTCACAACATGATCCCATCCACCTGTCTGGACTCATCTCCCAGGTCCTCACCTACTGCACGCTCTAGCCACAATGACCTACTAGTGCTCTCCTATCTACTCTCTTTTATATCTTTGCTGGTCACATGACATTCTCTGTCCCCGCAATAACCCTCCTTTATTTCTCCAGTAGGGAAATCTCATGCAGGCTTCAATACACAAAGGCCACCACCTTCATGAGGCCCACCCAGCCACTCTGACTATAAGCTGCTTCCCTTCTTTGCTCCCACAGCACATTCTGCAGATCCCTATTCCTGTACCTCTCCTACTGCACTGCAGCTAGTTGTCTCCCTTTCTGGCTGCACTCTGATTCTACTGGGAACAGATAATTCCTGATGAACTGCATACATGTGAGTGCAGATGCCATGTGCATAGTACGTGATCAGTTCAGGAAAGGGAGCAGAGGAAAGCAAGAGTACGGATAGGCAGAATCAGGGGGAAGCGTGGGTGTTTCCTGCAGCATAATAGAGAACCACTCAAATATCATTGTTGAAGCCAGCCTTGTCCCACAGCCTCAGAATCTTTCATATACTTAAAGTCCCAGAGGCCCTCCTCCCTGTGTGATGGCACCCCTTCCCTCACCAGCTCTCTTAGCTGACAACTTAGATTCTGCCTTCATTTTTCTTTTTTTTTTTTTTTTTTTTTTCTGCCTTCATTTTTCTAAACCTCAACAAAGGCTCCCACAGGAAGCCCACAGATCTGGTACTCAGCTTCCATACCACAGATGAGCCACAATTCTTCTTTGTGCAGACCCCCTTTCTTGGTCCTCAATACCTCCCTCCTCCTGGTACCAGCAAGTGAACTGCAGAATGGAAAAGGTCTAGAGGCCCAGAGAGAAGGGACAGAGCCAGACAGAGACCAGAGGGGTGATGCTAGGAGGAAGCAACAGGGACAAGAGTCAGGGAAAGATAAGAAGAAGGAAAGGCAGGGAAGTATACATGGTGGAAGGTGCTCCTGAGAAGGGTGGGAAACCACATTCTGCAAGGTATATGCCCTCCTCACCTGACAGACAAAAGGGAACTGGTTTCTCCCGATGTGGTAACCATCCAGACCAAGGGGAAAGACAGCMGCTAACGCCAGTGAGCAGCCCACGGCAGTCAGATTGTTCAGGTTGGGCTGGGAGTTCTGGATATAACTAGGGCAGAGGCGGAGAGGGTGGGAGAGGAAGAGAGCAGAATTACCCCTCTTCTCCAAGGAAGCTCAGCCCTCCAAATGTCATGCAATAGCATGACCTCAACTCCAGGGCCGTAAGACTACCAAAAGAAAGGTGGCAGTCTTGAGAGACAATGAGCTGGCTCATGGGGCTGAAGATGGAGCTGTAGAGGGCTCCCCTAGCACAAGGCCCTCTCAGAAATACAATCTATTGCTCTAGAGCCCAACATTGTGTTACCTAGCCCCAGAGGGGTTTGTTTTGTTTCCTTTCTTCCAGTTGGCTGCTTTGGATCAAGGGTGGGGGTTATACTTTGATCCCCCTCTTGCAATCTCAGTAAGTCCAAATGGAACCTTCTATAACAGATGGTTTTAGAAATAATAAACTCAGGTTTTAGTCTCACTCCCTCTAAGGAGCATGATCGTTACCTTGGAGAGACAGACAGCACAAGGATCATGGGAAAAAAAGAAACTTACCGGACATGGGAGTTGTAGATGTTAAAGGACAGACAGACCACAGCAAGGACAATGCCCAGGCTGGAGAGAACGGAGACGGAGATAAAGAGTTTCTGTGACAGGAAGCGGAATGTCTTGATGACCAGGGTCTGGTCAGCTGGAGGGGACCCTCCTGCATGCACAGGGAGGAAAAGGGTAAAGAAGAGATAATGGAAAGGGGTGAAGGAAAAGGATGCCGGCAGAGGACTTAAGGCCTTCATACTCTGCACAGGTGTGACTGGCAGAATGAATGCTCACAGTCACCGGGGCCCTTGGGGAGCAACCAAAATAAATGAGAAAGATATAGTGAATGCTGGGGCATTTCACCAAAATTGTAGAGTCTTGTTTTGTTATGATTTGTTCTTCCTGCTTCTCTGTTTTTCTTGCAGCAAACAGCAAAGGAAAATGGGAGAGGAAAGAAGGGGCTAGCTAGCTGAGAAATAAACTTATGAGGTCTCTTATCACCAAGTCAAAAGCTGCAAAAGACAATTACTCTGTGAGAAAGCTAAAAGGACCTCAAATATCTAATGTAGCCTTCTAACCTTAGGCAAAACAAACAAAAAGAAACTAGTCTGAAATCTTAACCCTGGCAGAATGATATTCCCTAAAGTGTTTTTCAGTTATTATTAAGGGGAAGTTCAAATTTGTCAGAGTTCACCAAAAAACCTAATTGCAATTTGCTTAATTAAAAAAAAAAAAAAAAAAAAACTAATTTAGGCCATGCAGCATTTATGGCAGTACAGAACACTGTCCTAAATTCAAATTTTATTAAAAAAAAAAAAAAAAAGAACGGAATTCTACCAGTGCTGGGAACAAGCAGGTTTTGTTGGGCAGGGCCAGGTAGCAGCTGCTACCTTCAACAGGTACTAACCCCCCTTCTTTTAGCAGTTGGTGCTTCTTTTTGCCCACCTCCAGGATCTTTCAATTTCTTATCATTTAGCCCACCAAGTACACTATCAATAATTCCTCACTTTCCCCTTTTTTAAAAGTACATTGTAGCAGATGACAATGATCTGAGGTTTTGTGTCCTCTCCTATAGTTTAATGTTTTCCTGACAGAGACAATGAGACAGCTTAAAGGCTTAAAGTAGCTGGTTCAGATATATCAAGGCACCAGGACATCTGGAAACCAAATGGAGTTTCCATTTCCCACCCCCTGCCCACCCCCTGCCTCTAATCCCCAGTTTCCCCAGCAGTGTGCTATTAAAAATAGTACTACCCACCTCCTAGTCCCTCTCCAAATACACCAATCTCCTCTCCCTTCTTGGAGGTTATATTTGCTCTCTCTTAATCCCTGCCTGTGGTCCCTCTCCCTGCCATATTTAAACCCTATGGAACCCACCACCCCACCCTCATTCAAATGCATGACCATTCTCCTCAATTATTCAGAGGGATTAAAAGAAAATATATAGGAGAGCACTTACCAATCCACTTATCTGTTTTGGACCAGGAAAGATCATCCTTGGTGCTGTCATAGTAGCCAATCTTTTTGTAGCTCCCACCTGAGCAAATAACAAGAGGGGTGGCCATTGGTAGGTAAAAAGCCATGCTGGGTATTTCCAACTTCCCACACTCCTAAAGCTGCCTTTCTTGACTGCATGTGACACTATCTTTATCTAAGCAACTAAAGGACACCTGGAAGGACACAGAAGTTGCTTGAAACAATCTCACTTACAAGCAATATAGGAGCTGGGGTTGTAGCTCAGCGGTAGAGCGCTTGCCTCACACACTTGAGGCCCTAGGTTCAATCCTCAGCACCACATAAAAATAAATAAATAAAAATAAAAACATTGTGTCCATCTACAACTAAAAAAAAAAAAAAAAAAAAAAAGCAATATAAGGTGGTAGCTGGGTGCAGCGGTGCATGCCTATAGTCCCCACAACTTAGGAGGTTGAGGCAGAAGAATGGATAGTTCAAAACCAGCTGGGTAACTAAGCAAGGCTCTATATCAAAATATAAAATAAAATGGGTTGGGATGTAGCTCAATAGTGGAGTGCACCTGGGTATAAAACCCAGTAGAGAAAAGGAAAAAAAAAAAAAAGTGATTCCTAAGGCACTTGAATTAACATCTTATATGTTTAAAACTCTTCATTGAGGAAGGCGCCACAGTACGTCTGCCACCTATTCCACTGCCTCACAGCTCTCTCAGCAAGATGTCTCTCACTCTGATTCTGGCTTGGAAAGCTTTAAACATATTTCCGTTTATTCTCTCATGATGGACAGAATCACAGAATCTGTTCTCCCAGTGGCTTTCATTTTAATTTTAGAAATTTCTCTCCCGTTGGCTTGGGTTCTAATTCCTTGGATAAGTTACATCTGCCTCTTAAAGAGCCACTATGTGAAATTCGGTCACTCCTAAGATTTCTGTTCTAAAACTGTCCCAGTTAACATAACTTTTCTTTCGAAAGCCAATTCACAAGGCTTTCACCAATGAATCCATTCCCTCTTGTCTTGGATACAAAGAAAAGCTGAGAGAATGTGGGAGTTCGGGAGGAAGGAAGAAAGAAACTTTTCACAGAAGGCCAAGAAATAGCTCTCTTGTCCATCCCATAAAAGGCTGCAAGTGAGAAGGAACTGAAAAATTAACTCACCAAAGTTCTGCAAATACTTAAGTATGCTAAGTTATAAGAAAATTCAATCCAGAAAGGTCAAACTACGGAAAATTAAGAATGATAGTTACCTAGCAAGAAAATTCAATGCACTCCCTTTAAAAAACTAGCAGGTTTCCTAGATTCAGCTTTCCTTGCATCTTTGAGGAGGCACTGACAGCTCCTACAGGTCTCAGAAGGGAAATTTTGTTTTCTTTTTTTCTTCATGTACTGAGGATTAAACCCAGGGCCTCAAGCATGCTAGGCTCAACAACTGACTTATATCCCCAGCCTTTCAAAAAAATTTTACTTTGAGACAAAGAGTCTTGCTAAGTTGCCCAGGCTGGCCTCAAACTTTCAATCCTCCTGCCTCAGCCTCCAGAATAGCTAGGATTACAAGGGTACACCACCACACCTATTAGAAGGCAAACTTCTGAGACTGAAAGAATAGAGAAACGCTGCTTTTAATTTACATGCCCTTAAAGAACACAACTCAGCAAGAAACCCAATTCTATTTAAATCAGAGTGGGGAACCAAGAATTGAACTCAGGGGCACTTGGCCACTGAACCACACTCCCAGATCTATTTTATATTTTATTTAGAGATAGGGTCTCACTAAGTTGCTTAACGTCTTGCTTTGCTGAGGCTGGCTTTGAACTTGTGATTCTCCTGCCTCAGCCTCCTGAGCCGCTGGGACTACAGGCATGTACCACTGTGCCCAGCCCTCCCTAAGCTTTTTATTAATGTTATTTAAAAGCTTGATGAACACAGTTGAAAGAGAAAGGCAAGAGAGGAGGCACCAGGCAATCTCGTGATGTCTTGAGTGTTCTTCCAAGTAGGGACCTGGCCCAGTCCCAGCCTCTGCCACCACCACCCTGCACCTCCACCCCCATGCTCACCCTGCAGCTGCTCGATAAGTGTCCATGCCATTCGGGAGCCACTGGCATCAAACACCACATGGCCCTGAGGGGGAGAAACATGTGGAGGAAGCAAAGGGGATAAAAGCAGGAGTGAAAAGAGAACATCAGGGACTTTCTGACTCCTTCTGTTTTTGATGCAATTGAGCTTCTGAATGAATACTATTTATGGCATTTGCCTGCATATAGGACATACCCCAGATGCCCATACCCTAGATTTTAGAAATATTATTCTTTTGAGAAGAAGCTTCACCCGTGAGATTTGAATGGGAAAAATCCCCAGACAGAACACCAGGAGACCTGGCTTCCAGYTGTGTGGCCTGAGCAAGTCACCAAATCCCATTGGGCATTTATTTTCTCACTTTAAAAGGCATAAGGAGATAAACTTTTGGGTTGTTTCTTCTTTTAAAATCCTACAGTTCTCATCTGACTCATAAATACCTGGACTTGTCTGAAAGAAATGAGAGGAAGGGTTGAAAAATATACAGTTTTATTCTTTTGTAGTCTTTTGTGGGATTTTCTGGTTTGGGGATCCCCACTCCCCTCCTCTAAGACTAACTTCTGCAGAGAAGTATCTGAGAAAGATGGGGAATGCATGCTTCTAAAGGAGCCTCTAAGGGGGTGTCTGTCGATGCGAGGACAGGGGAGCATGAAAGGGGCTGTAACTCACAGAGACACCCTCAAAGGACGAGGAGTTCATTGCCCGGTAAATTTGGTCGGTAATGGTTTGGTTGTTGTAGTTGAAGTCCTCCAGGCGCACACCCGAACGGCCACCTCCTCCAGATGTCTTGTTCAGGGCCAATGCCAAGGCCCAGATAGCATCATAGGCCAGCGGTGCTTCCTGGAAGCCGCCTGTCTCTTCAGGGTGTCTTTTGAGTCGCTTGGTTAGTTTCTCCACAAACTCCTGGGATGTCTGGGGAGAGAAGAACAAGAGAAAAGGATTGGAATGTGTGTGGGTGCAGGGGGAGGGGACCATCCAATTTTGGCTCAAACACTTCGACTTGAGCGGATGGTTTGTGTTCATGTTGTCAGATGAAGCATATGTACATTCAAAATCTCTAACTATGCCCATGTGTCTGTCTTAGGTTTGAAGCAACTAGACTAGAGCAGAGATTAGCTGAGCCCAATGGTCTTAGTGTGTACAGCTGCTAGCTCAGAACTACAAACAGAGAAGTCTGATGAATAAACACTCTGGTAATGAGTGGCAAAGGAGAAAAAGTAGACATAGAGTAAAGGAAAAAACACAGATATTGCAATGAAGAGTTGTGACACCGATGTCCTCTCATCCTTCAGACTCTCAGTAGAGCTGACCCAGGATCTAACAGCTCCTCCAACACTGAAAGTTCCTAGAAAAGGCAACACCCACAGCCTTTGTCACTCTGCTTGTCAACCCGGAAGATTTTTCTTCAGTGTGTTAACTTCTTGCCATTCTAGTTGCCTTTTAGACATTTTCCMAAAAACTGAGAACTGCAGAAATATCCTTCACACTCTGTGTGTATGTGGTGCTGAAGATCAAACCAAGGGCCTCATGCATGCTAGACACCCTCTGCCACTAAGCCACATCCCCAGTCCTGCCCTTTACACTTCCAAAGTCTATCATTCAATCCTACTCACACCACTTCTCAACACTCAATATTTTCCAAGAAAGCCGAAAAGAATGATAGTTCCTTTAACTCTTACACAACAGGTCAAGAGACCTGACTTTGCATACTTGATTGTAACCCCATTTGGTTTAATAACCACAGATGGTTAACTTGAAACTACCTTCTGTATAATGAAGAAAATCTCATCTTCCTTTCCTCACCTCCCAAAAAGACACAAGCAAAGGCTCAGCAACAACTTGCTTGCCAAGGCACAAATAATACACAGCAGCACTACACAAATGACTATTTGAATTTGGAATGTATTAACAGAAGGAAGGAAGGAATAGATGAATAAAGAATAAACAAATGTTCTCCATGACATGACCACATTTTTTTTTTTCTATTCAACTTTCTTGAAACAGCCTGAGATTTGAAGACACACATGGGCTCAGGCTCTACTACTTCTGAGAACAGAACCAAGTTTTATTTCTTTTTCTTAGCACCATAATGTACAAACAATAAATGTACATTAAATTAGGATAGTGAAAATAACTATGTATGATACTATAAAGATAGAAGCATGCCATTATACATTTTTTCAAACCCACAGACTATACACCACCAAGAACAAACACTTCTGTAAACTATGGACTTTGGATGACTACAATGTGCCAGGTTAATCAACTGTAACAAATGTACCATTCTGGTGGGGTCTGCTGCTAATGTGGGAGGCTTTGCCCATGTAGAGGTATATACAGAAACTCTCTAAGCTCAATTTTTCCTCACACTTCAACACTGCCCACTATATAAGATTGAAACCTTAGAATCACCTTTGACTCTTCCAAATCACCAAAACCTCTTTCTTCTTTTATTGAGGTGTTTCATTAGTATCATCCCTCTCTACGTAGGTTGATGATGATGATGATGATGATAATGATGATGATGATGGCAGTGGCTAACATTATAGTGTCCTTACTGTATGCCAGGCACTTTTCTAAGGCACACATATCAATATATTTGATCCTCAAACCATTCAGTGAGGAAGACACTATTATCCCTATTTTGTGAAAAAGGAAAGTGAAACACAGAAGCTAGTTAACTTGCCTAAAGTTATACTGCCAGTAAGTGGCAGKGCTAGGACTCAAACCCAGGTAGTCTGGCACCAAAGTCTTATTTATCAATGCAATACTGGGGACTGAACCTTGGCATAAAGTGCTCTACCCATGAGCTTCACCTTCAGCTCTTTAAAATTTTTATTTTGAGACAAAGTCTCACTAAATTGCCTTGTCTGGCCTTGAACTTGCAATCCTTCTGCCTCAGCCTTCTGAATAACAAAGTCTATACTTTAACCATCTACCCATACTCCTTCTATACACTGAAATGCCTCTCTCCAAGAGCACCTGCTCAAAGACAACAGCTAAACTGAGACTTTCTAAGTAGTCCTTCAGCTTCTAGGTCTATCTAATCCTCAGTTCAAAGTAAAGATTACATCAGAAAATCACCCAGATGGGAAGGGATTAATCTGCTCAGCATGATACTATCCCCTGCCCAGATCTTCAAACTCTCAGCTCACCCTAGGTCACTACCTCTAACACTCCTGGCCAAAGGGAGCACTGGTGTCCCTATTACTAAAACAATGAAAAAACGATCTTTCCCCTTTCAATCAACAAAGATATGGTTATTAATTTCCAAAGAGAAATTTTACTGTGCTGCTGAGAAAAACTGAACAACAAAAGTTCCACAATTCACAGAAATTAGTGAATTAACCAAGTGCAAATTTATGATCCTCATTTTTTATAAACAGCTCTGTCTGTGCTCCATGTGTGAAAATGGATGCTTGACAGTGATCTGTGTGTCCTGAGGTAGGTTTTTAGTTTGTTTTGTACCCAGGTCTGATGAGATCTCCTTCCCAATCAGGATAAATTCACAATCTCATCTCCAGGTATGCCACCTCCCATCTTCCCCTCTAGATCATAGCTACATTTCTCCAAAACCATTCTAATTCACCCTCCATTTATTTATATTGTACCTAAAGATTCTTTCTCTATATCATGATTTCTCAAATCTCCACACTKTTGGCAATTTAGACAGAACAGCTTTGCTGTCAGTGGTGAGCTGTGCATTTTGGAATATCTTTTTTCCAGTACTGAGGAATAAACTCAGGGATACTCTGCCACTGAGCTACATCCCATCCCTTTTTATTTTTTTGAGACAGGGTCCAAGTTGTACAGGCTAACCTAAAACTTGCAATCCTCCTGCCTCAGCATCCCAAGTAGCTGGGATTACAGGTGTGTACCACCATGCACAGCTCACATTACAGAATGTTTAGAAGCATCCTTGGTCTATACCCGTTAGACACTATGAGCAGCTATCCTTCAGCGAAGCCCTCACCCCTAGTTGTATCAATCAAAAGTATCCCCAGACATTTCCAACCTCTGGTTAAAAACTACTACCCTAACAGTGATTTCCAAAGAAGTAACATCAGCATTTCTGGGAACTTGTTAAAAATATAAATTCTCAGGCTCTACCCCAGATCTTCTAGGGGAAACAGCTCAGAACTTCTAGGGAAACAGCTTAGTAGTCTGTGCTAACTACCTTTGTAGGTAGTTCTATGGAAACTAAAGTTTGGGAAATACTGATTTAAACAAATGTGAGGCCACTGTGTGGAGTGAAAGCAACTCAGCTTCTTTTTAAGTCTCTATAGCTCTGTCCTGCTTGTTTCAATCCTTGCTTCTGATTCACTTTTCTTGGTGCTATTTGATTCYCGAGTCAGTTGTTAGGGCTGCTTCTATTCCTCTACTGAAAAATCTTGACTTCTCTACTTGGTATTTTAGCCCGGTGTCACTAGAAGCCCTATGGTCTAGAAGGCAGGCACCATCTTCCTCTAGAGACCAGGAGCCAGAAAGAGATCTTCTAACATCCTACTCCAAAGCTCAAGTGTCCCTCTATATCTGTGAACAATTCTTGGCTTTCTGTCTGCCTGCTCTAGTTTCCTGCTATGAGACAGCAGCCATTATTGGCAGGTCCTGGGCTCAGGGTATCAGTCTTCCCATCTTCAGCAACCAGCACCACTAATTCCTCAGTTCTGGAGGATGACTCGCCTTTCCAGTACTCTATAGGGAGGTGAACCTCCAGAATTTTTTCACTCTATTTTTCAAATAAGATACATTAAACATAGAGTCCCCTTTAGAATGTCCCAGAATAGAGTCTATGATCAGAGTCCATGAGGCAGTTCACCATTCATCATAATTCACTGACACAACCAACTTCCTAAATTATTATTTCTCCCGTGCTCAAAAACTGCCATCAGCTGAACAGTGCTAGCACAAAAAAATACAAGATTTCAGTCAGGCTTCATGCTTACCCATAGAAGTGATGGAACAGAGCAGTTTGGAATTAGATTCAATTAGAAGCCAGTTCCAGCAGGACAACTCAATAGCTGCATGGAACAAGTCACTAAATTTCTCTGAGTCTTAATTTTCTGGTATATAAGATGCAAATAATAAATATACATCAGAATATTGTTTAAAATCTGATTTTAAGGGGCTGGCATTGTGGCTCAGAAGTAGAGCACTCACATAGCACGTAAAAGGCCCTGGGTTCTATCTTCAGCAGCACATAAAAATAAATAAATAAAATAAAGGTATTGTGTCCAACTACAACTAAAACATAAATATTAAAAAAAAATCTGATTTTCAATTCCTAGTTTACCAAATAAAATCAATTGCTAGTAAAACTCCTTTAAATAAACACTTTGAGGATTTTACCATCATTAGTTCACCCCTAGCCTTCTCTCCAAAACAGGCATTATATACCTAAGGGTGTACCTGATATAATAAGTAGACATGCTGGTTACCCCATTGAGCTCACTAAGATTTCTGTGCTCTAAGATGTCATGCTGAGCAGCAGTGAAGCTCTTCCCCCACACCCACACCCACATCCACACCCACTTGTGCTCCCACCTGCAAGGCTGCCCCAGCCCTCCCAAGTCAGGCAATGTGCTTCTAGTTCCAACTCTGTCACTAACCAGTTATCTGGGACTAAATGATTTAGTCATTTTTACATCTAAAATTCTAAAAAAMGAATCATTAAAAAAAAAAAACATTATAATCCAAGCTAATTTCATCATGAGTGAATATTAAGTAACTCTAAGATACTAATGTAAGTCACCAAAAAAAATAAAATGCATTTCTGCCCAGGAACAGTGCTTTGGTAAAGGTGTGCTTGCATATACAAGCGTCTATATTATCATTAACTCCTCTCCCTCATTTGACTTCACACCAACTRCTCCTTGTTTCCATGGTAACAGCCCTTCCACTCATCAGGAGCCTACTGAACATACCACTCTATCATTTCTCTCCCTCCCTCTCTCCCTCCTACCCGAGAAAAGTCACAACAGAGGTAGAATCCACAGGAGACATGATGCTAACAAGCTCAGAGTGGGCACAGACCCCTTTCTCTTCATAAGTTCAAACTCTACACCCTCCCCCTCCCCTCAGAAGCTCCCTCACCCACTCCTCCCAGGTGCCATGCCCCACAGTCTCACCATGTTAGAAATGCTCCGGGTATTGGCAGGGTTCAGCATGACAATCTCAGTGGTGATGTGGCCCTCTACTGCCTCGGTCATCTCATCCACTGTGCAATTGATTGACGGATCATAGATTTTGAACCAATTGTCAGCATACCACCCAATGAGGAACCAGACATACTTCTTCCCAAAGAGACGTTCCTTGTACACCTGCACAGAAAGAAGAAGGCTGGGATACAGTTTAGGGCTTTTTTTGGGGGGAGGGGGGGTGGCTGTTGTTTTTTGTATTATTTCAATGGTAGCTATTCAGCCTCTTAGAAATTACAGATGAGCAACAGAATAAGTAAAAGAAATGTACAAGTCTTAAGGCTGGGGCATGTCTCAGTGGTAGAGTGCTTGTCTAGAAATCCACAAGTCTAACAATGATAGGAAAGTCTCAATAACACCTCCTCCCAACTTCCAAGTTCTTCCCCAGACCCTCTATTTCTGAGTAGCCTTTCCAGTCAGTCAGAAGAAATGGCATTCATGGACTACTCAGGAAATTAAAAAAAAAAAGGGAGGAAAATTAAATATAACATGTGTGCAGGGAGTGGTGGTATGTGCAATTTGTGTGTGTGTGGAGAAAGGATAAAGTCAGAGCCAACAGATAGAGACATCATATTAATCATCACCTCAGATCATTTGCTATTAATTTCAGCAAAGATACAGTGAGGAGACTCTGGAAGAACACCAAGGCAAGAAGCCCACCCAATCTCCCTCCCTCTTCAGATTCCAACTCCACCTCACAAAAAACTTTCCGGGCTTCGGTCTCATAAAAAAGTCCCACGATGATTCGGGCATCTTGGCGCTATAAAATGGAGACAGAAACAGAGCTCCTGAGGGACACCTAGGAGCGCCTGAGGGGCTAAGCCAGGCGCTTTCACAGCTTTGATTTCCCATCCCAGAGTGCTTAGTGCAGAGTAATGTTCAATGGGCAGTGGATAAATGTCAGCTGGAAGATGGAGCTAAATCTCCCCAGGAGACACTGCTGCCTCACACAATCAGTCAGTCCCCGCCTGACTCTCCYTTCCAGTAGACCTTGGTTCTCCAACCCAGCCCCTCCACAGGCTGAGCCCACCACTCCTGGCCAACCCACCTTCAGGTTTTTGACAGGCACGGCTGGATCTGAGAAGAAGCTCTGGCGGAAAGTTATCTCAATTCCAGCCTCCTTCACTCTTTCCTCTAGGTCATCCAGAGTCTTGGGTGGGAACGAGAAATGAATAAGAAAAACATGGGGCATGCAATGGGGTAAAGCAGAGATGTTAACTGCCTTAACTGGGGACTGAAATCTCAAGAGTGACAGAGCAGTGTTCTGAACCTTCCTCCAACATCTCTGTCCCCAAAGCTAGAAGAGTTCAAAGGAAAGCATCTGCAGTCTTAGAAGGTGGCTTCCCAAGTGGAACGGCACATAATGAGCCCTTCCTCAGGTCTGTGTCTGAAGGAAGCCACTCCACTGACCTCACTCCTACCACTCACCCTACTTCTACCCCTAAGGGGAAAACAGAAGAACCCAAAAAAGACCAAGAGGCAGGTAAGCAGACAGACTAAAGGATCAGAGAACAGCCTGAGTCACTGAGAAAAAGTGAGGAAGGAGGATTAAAGGGCCACTGAACGTTCGAGTGGGTGGAAGACCCAAAGAATACAATAGAAGGGAGGGAGCAGACTACTTTCTTTGGATGTAGAACCTTGAATTTCTTCTTTATTTCCACAGATTTCCTGAGGCTCCTTCAACCTCTATGTCTATGGGCATTTCTCTCCCAGTGTTAACTACCAGACCTGTGTCTCTTGTCTGTCTGCATCTACCTCTCCTCTGTGCCCCATCCCCCTCCCAACCAGTAGCTCCACCTCTCTGTCCCCTTTCTCACACACACCCAGTGTCTTTAGAATCTACTACATTCCTGGGTTCCTATTTTATATTCCTTCTCTCCTCTTGACTCAATTTGGGATTGAACCTACTTTAACAGAACTGAGAGTCATTGAGCCTATCTGTCTGGGGAATACAGCATCAAAAGGAAAAAGAATCATAATATCAAAAAGATGGAGAGGATCCCAAAAACTCAATTCACTCATTCCCTTAGCTACAGAAAGTACATGCACTTAACCCACTTGGAATGGGTTCTCTTTCAATAAAGAACCATGATCTTCCCCCACAAYGAATGCTGTGTCACATCTCTCTCCACAGGACTTTGAGTCGATGCCCCCTTTTACTTTCTCCCCCATCCCTCCTCACCGAAGTGAAGACCTCCGTAGTCTGCTGAATGGTGGCAATCTTCTTCCAGCCCCACTTTTCAAAAAGTTTCACTCGGGTAGGATTGTGGAGAGTGGCTGACGGATGTGTTCGGAAGAATGTGGGGAAACGCTGCCGGTTTGACAGGGCTGGTGAACTGGAGCCATAGGAAAGCTAAGGGGACAAGGAAAGTGGACTCCACTGAGGGCTACTAAGAATTCCTTTGATCCCTTCCTTGCCTTTAGAGTTTTCTCCTCCACTCTCTCCAAACCTCCTCACTTTTGTCCTAGGAAAAGTGATTCTCAAAGACCCACACACTCCTCACAATTAGGATGCTCCTTCACTCATCTAACTACCCAGTTCCTTCTGAGATCAGCTTAAGTATGGTTAAGCACTGCTGCTGGGAGTCCAACCAGCTCAGGTCTGCAGAAGGTTCTGGATCCTGGAAGTGGGTCCCTCCCTCAACCCTCTTAAAACCCAAACCTACAATCCTCCCTTAGTACAGCCCAAAAGGAAACCACCCCCACACCCTTGCTTACCACAATAAGGTTCCACATCCTGGCAGCCTCAGCCACAAGTGTGGAGACAGAGCTGCAGCCGGGCATGAGGATGATCTTGATGGGATCATTGTAGAGCAGTTCATACAAGTACTTGGTGGCTTGGCCTGGGTCACACTGAGTGAGGAAGGAAGGGTTGGGAAGCCCCTCAGGGCTCTTAACCTTCTATTTCAACTGTCTTATCTTTCTTGGACAACCTAGTTCCTTCTTCAATTACCCACTTTCATCACTATTACCATATTCTTCTCCCTGACATCTCTTCTTGTCAAGTTTCTTGCTTCTCCTCTTTCAATTACCTCTATTCTCTGTCTTCCATCTGGCACTGAATCCCTCTCCTCTCCTGCATACCCCTATATCAGTATTCATGGATATGTATCTTTTCTCCTTTAGTTCATCCGCTGACATCCCCAAGTCCACCTCTCCTGTCACCCCTGCCCTTCACCCCATGTTTCTATGTTCCAAACATCTCTGAGAAGAAAAGTCTGCAGGAACACAAATTCTCTCCAGGTTCCCAGACAGCTTCCTCAAAAATCATATTATGAAATTTCTTCCTTCACCTCTAAGAATTCCTTCTTTTCTCCTTCATTTTTTTTTCCTCCCTCTTTTCAGGGCTAGTGATAAGTAAACAAGAGAGAACAGGAACAAGACCAGTAGGGGGTCTGCTCAGCTCACCCATCCCCTCCTGCTGGGCCCTGACAATTGACAGGTCCATTTGAAAAAAAAAAAAAAAAAACACTCAGGGGTGGAAGTAGGAAAAAATCTAAGATGAGGAAAGAACAAGGAGAATAAATAGAATGGAACTCTCAAGAATAAATGATTTCAGGGGTGTCTAAAAGAGAGGCATGGCACTGGGTAAAGTAAGTAATGCAGAAAGCTAGAGAGGAAAGGGAGGCTGGGAGGAGTGGCAATGGGGGGGAGGGAGAGACAGTCATGGGTCTCCCACTGCCTATTCCCCTCCTGCTGAAAWGTGACATTTCAGAAGCTGCAGGAGACCCAAAGGAAGTGGAGAATAAATGGCAGCCAGTGGGGAGCCGGGGAAGAGGGGAAACAGACAGGAGACATAGGCAACTGGGGAGGGTGAACTGGGGGGTACAAGTAGAAAGGAAATAAAGAAAGCTCCCTAGAGCCTGCTCACTCCCCACTGAGGCCTGACATTTGGGACACAGTGGGAAGTTAGAGTCCAGAGAGCCAGGGGAGCCAGGGGAAGGTGGTGGAAGCTAGAGAACACTGAGCCCTGATGCCCACCTCACCTTCACCCCCTGCTCAGGGTATTGCTCAACTGCTTTGAAGACTTTCTCTTCATGTCTCCCATTTGGGCATCTCAGTATATCTTTACTATTCTGGAGTCCAAATATCCTGAATTTTCTCAGCATCTATTATTCCAGATCCTGCCCCCAGCTTCTCCAAAGCCTCCTCAGTGCCCCTCTACTTCCTGTCTGAAGAAATGGTTAATAAGAACATGTGGACATCATGGCAGATCCCCTCTCCATGAAGTTCTCCCTCTTCCTATTGCTCTTGCAAGCAGAAAAGAGGCACATTCTAGTGGACACATTCCAGTTTCTGCCTTCTCATCCCCTCCTTTTTTGCCTCTGCTAACTTCTCTAGTTGCCTTATCCTGGGTCCCCCAGCTGCTCCCCAACACTTCAGGGAATCACCTATCATGATGGGTAAATTCAAGCTCACAGACAGGCCTCCCCTACTTCCTTGTGATGCCCCCTCATAAAGCCTGCCCCCATYTCTCCCAATCTTTTTCCCCCACACTCATACCCCTGCCCCTGACCAATAACTCTCGAAAAGTCTCCCAAGTCTRACCCCTCCTATAGATGTGACCCTCTATTTCTCTTCATGCCTTCCCTACCCTAATACCTAATTCTTTTCCTGAACCCTGCTGCTCTTTCCATAGGCATCCTAGTGTTAGCTACAACTCAAGCAGAATTTCTGTTGGTAAAAATGTAGATAATTCTTGGGATTCCTCCCTGACCCAGGAGTTAGCATCTGTATTTTTAACAACCCCTCTGGTGATTCTTRTGTACACTGACATTTGAGAAATACAGAGAAGGTAACAGTCCAAAAGGATTTTAAGCTCTGTCTCCAAATGCCTACCAATCCTTATGCTCTCCTCTCCTCAAGCACCCTGCCTGCAGCCCCACTTCTATCCCCTTTCCTTTTCCCCCACTTACTTTAGATATATATTGATGTTCTAGAGAATGGATATAAATCCTCAGCACACTCCAAGTGTAAAATCCCCAAATCTTCACCCACTGTACCCTACCTCCCTAACCTAGTCCCTTAAATCTCTGGAGCCACATGTCAGAGAAATTTAGGGGGATCCCAAATTTCCTTCCTTCTCTGTGTCATACCTTCTCCATTACCCAATTATTCATGTAGGGGAGAGGGAAGGTAAAGAAATCCTATCAGAGATCATCCCTAAAACCCCTGAACCCAAATTTCCTTCCTTCCCCCTCTTCCTTCTCTCTCCTCTCTAACCCTACATCTCACATCTAAAGGCCATAATGCTAAAAGAGAAGATAAAATCAGGACCCCCAAGCTCCACAAGACACCCCAGGATTCCTCACTATCCCCATCCTTCCTCTTTGCCCCCCTCCCCCACTCCTTTCTTTTCTGTTCTTTCCTCTCCCTGTATTAGGCATTCCTCTCCATCACCATGTTATGGTGGGGGCTCCTCATGTGGACCCCTAATCCAATTTATCCTCCAGTGTCTCTGTCCACCTCTAAACCATTATCCTTCCCCAAAAGCTATAAGCCATACATTCTCACAGTCCAGGAATCTTCAATAGGACTGGGGATGGAGGGATAAGGAGTCAGGTAGGGCTAGAAGCTACCTTCCTGTTTGTTTTGATAAATAAACTAGAGCTCTCAAGTCCCTCAAAATTTTCTCATTCTCTCCCTATTCCTTCCATCCTTAACATACGCCACACTTACCTTGTTACCATGGTAAATGTAAACCCCTGATACAGCTCACTACCTCCGACATTCCCTCCTGCCCCCAACCCAGTCCAGGGTTAGTTTACTCCCTCAGAAGGCCAGTATCAGCTAGGACCCTAAACCCATCACCAGTTTTCTCAACACCCCTGTACTTTCATGAGTCTCCCACTGCAGAGCAAAGGGTTTGTCTTACAGCGTGATTAACCATGATTAACCATTTTGAACCCCCAGACCCTCATCTTGAACCTCCAGCCCCTGCTATTCTCCCCAAGCTCCTGCACTTCCAGTCCCTCTCCTGCTAGTCACACAAGGGAGGGGTTTGCCTCGCAATCTCAAAGCGACTCAGACTCAGGCGATAACACAGCTGGCCCCCTGCCCCCCTAAGCCCCCACCTCTCACCCACTCCCTTGTYGGGTGCTACCTTGCTGTCGTGGTGGATGAGCTTGAGCTCATAGTCCGGCAGGATGTCCCTGCGGCTATTCACGTCCTCCAGCGCCATCTCCACCGCGGGCTGGCAGGCCTGGCCCCCTGGCCAGCCCCCGCTCATGGGAAACAGCGCCCCGATGTACACTGCGCGCCGTTCTGAGGAGGGGTGCGGGGGGACCCTCGGGTGAGGCCGTGGGAGATGAGAGGAGTGAGAGGCCCACACTGGAGCCACCCCAGCTGTCATCACCACCAGGAGAGGCAGTGGCCACCCCACTAGGGAAGAGGGGGCCCCGGGACCCATGGCAGGGAGGGGGCGGGGGTGGCAGCTTGGAGAGCTGGGAGGAGCTCAGGGGGGACACTTTTTCTGGGGAGGGCTGCTGAGGGGGTGTCGGGCAGGCACCTCCATCCCCGGTTTTGTGGGGAGGAGGGGGCTAGGGCCCCCCGGGAAGCAGGGAAGGTGGGCTTCCTACTCCCGCCACCGCTACCGCCACCGCGGACTCTCCTCGCGGACTGACTGACCGAGGGAGGGGAGGAGGAGGGAGATGTGGGGCTGGGAGGGGGCTCTGACGTCACGAGCGAGCAGCACGGCAGTGGTGGGGGGGCAGGAGATGGGGCGGGAGGAAGGGGGCGGGGATGAAAGCAAGCTCGAGGTGGGAACCACAGCCAGAAAGGAGGGGAGGGTTAGGGAAAGAGGGTGCAACCTCTCGAGGTATAGGGATGGATGGAGAGATGGAAAGGGAGAGGTCCACCCACCCAAGGGGATATTAGTGGGAGGAGAAAAGAGGAGATGGAGCGTGCCAGGAGAGCAGGGTGGGCGGAGGGAGCAAAGCGAGAAAGGCTGAAGCAGCGAGAGAGGGATGGGGAAGGGAAGGAGAATGGGACAGGACAGAAAAGGGGCTGGCGTCCGAGATCTGAAAGGAGGGTATGAACTGAGGGTGCTGAGAGAGGGATAGAGGTGGGAAGAGTTTTGGAAGGGAGAAATGGGTTAGGAAGGGAAGACTGGTATMGGGTCAGTGTTGGGGATAGAGGAAGGGAACATGGGGCAGATAGATGAGAAAGGGTGATGGGAGACAGAACTGAGAATAAAGAGGAGTATAGGAAGGAAAGAATTGGGGGAAGYGTGAGAGGCCCTGGCCAGGGTTGGAGGTGGGTGAAATGGGCTGATGGAGTCCATCAGGTGAAATCCTAAAAAGGGGGCAAGCAGGAAAAGGTTCCAGAGAAGGTCGGAAGGAACCCCCGAGGGGAAGACGAGGTGGAAACTCAAGTTCGCAGCACGCTGCCGCCCCCTGCCGGGGCTCTGCCATTTGGCCAAGAAGCAGAATCTGGGAGGAGGTGGAGCCCAGGGAAGTGCAGCCAAGCAAGGAGATGGGAGGGACCGCGGAAAACCGGGACTGGAGGCAGGAAACAGGTAGGGAAAGAAGGGGACGGTCGAAAAGGGTGGGTGGGGGGAGGTGGGTGAAGAAGGACATCCATAGCCTAGGGGCAGAACTCCTGCTGGTGGAAGGTGAAGACTTAAGGGTAAAGGGATTGCGGTGCACGCAATTAGGGTTTCTGATCTCACCTGAGTGTGGCGTTCGATTCACTGGCAGCAGGAAAGACCGGGATCAGAGAAGAGTTACCACTGGCGCCCAGCTTCCCAGGCCTGATCCCCAGCCCCCTCCCACACCTCTCCATGCCGAAGAAGGGGGAGGGCAGAAGCCTGCGATTCTGAGGGGAGGGTGCCTGGGGATAAGAGCAAGGTGGGGCTGGGGGTCAGGACTTGTTGGTTTTCTTCCTTTATTTTTCATAGGACATAGAAATTGAGACAGGAGGAGCAACAGTTAAGGCAGGGACAGATTCTGGTTTTGTAGAGCCTGAATATTACAAAGTATAAGGGTCTCTGAGAAAAAAATTACAATGGATTTTAAGCAATTACTATTAAAATACCTAGTTTTTGCAATTTTGACAAAAATGAAGTAGCATGTGAACACATTCTTAAAGCCCACTACATTATTAGAGCACAGGAAAAGGGCCTGGTAAGTGAGGAACCCTGAAGCTTAAGCTTTGTTAGCTTAATAGTAAATCCACCCCTGGATAGGACACCCATTTCCGGGATGGAATGGTAAACTAGAAGAGGAATAACTTGAGTTAATTGAAGAAAGACAAGGCCAAGGATCTTGAAATAGTCTACAGAGTAGCAGAAGCATGAGGCATAGGAATAGATGCCTACATTCTAGAAGACTGCAGAAGGAGAGTTTGAGTGCCCAGAAAAAGGAGAAGTTTGCAGAACTAGATGGCAAAAAAGGTGGTAAACACAAAAATTATTCCCTCAGGGAATGCTGGAAATTGTCTAGGAGGGACAGAAAAGGACTATAGTCTTCCCATTCCATCTCTGAGTTGTCAATGTTCTGATAATTCTGCCCCCAATTTTAAATCATTTTACCCTGATATATTTCCACTCTTGGATCTCCTCTTGCCAATTTTTCTACATTGTGCATGACTTTATATTTACAAAAATTCAATTAAAGAATGAATGGTGACGAGTCAATTCTAGAAGAGGGTGATGCATACAAAGTTCTAAATTTAGAGAAAGTGAATGGATCTAGGGAAACTTGGAGTATTTAAACCTTGTGAAGGTAAGGGAAGGTTCGATTCATAAAGGAAAAAAGAAAATGTAAGTCCCAAGAACTGGAAGCAGGGACTTTACAGAAAGAGGAAAGCAAAGAAAGGATATCCCCCAACATAGGGAAATTGAATACTGGGGATAGCAGAAGTTTGAGGCAAGTGGATGGTGGAAAAAATTGGACTTTCATTTCTGCCTTCCCAAGGCCCTCCTCCAYGTTCTTCATAGGACCCCATCCTTTCCCACCATCTATTCCCACTCCACCCCACTCCCTTTCTTGCACAAGCATCCTCATCAGCTGCATGCAGGCAGCTATTCCCCTCACCCTGGCAGTGGGGCTTGGGGGTGCTCCACTGGCCCTGACTACAGATGCTCCGGGAGCTGCCCACCAGATGGAAGTCGGGGTCACACCGGAAATCCACCCGGGCTCCGTCCAGAGCTGGGAGGTCCCCACCCGTCAGGAAAACTTTCCCATTTTCCAGGGTCAAATAAGACTTGGAGCAGATTCGGACTGTGGAGAGATAGGAAAATGAGAAGAGATGCAAGTTGGAGAAGGCTTTTTTCCCTTAACAGAGAGCAGGGGGCTTGGGTTCGATCCCACAGTATCTTACTCTACAGAAAATAAGCTGTGAAAGGATTAGCATCCCTACCTTCTACTCCCCCCTTAACCCTGAAAGCATCCACACATTCTCAAAAGAAAATAAGAAAAAGTATTTCCATTGTAGGAACCCAAGATGGAGCTATAAGCACACAAAATGGGATCTCTCCACAATCCACTATAGTGGGCAGTTCTCTATCTTTGAAATGTGTGGATAACTTTGAATGCACAATCAGATTTGCTTTTCTTAATATGGTTGGTTAATATTAAATTGTCTTTTGTTCCCTGGGCATATAGTCATTGGAATGGACAGGTGTTGGGCAATGTATTGAAATCATTTTAGCATTTTTTTGGCATAATCTGCTACTAAAAATCCTTAAAGAGAATAGCATAAGACAAAAAAATCAAAGTTATTTCATCCAATGATCACTGGCCTAAGGAAAGGATGAAATGAAATGTGCAAGCTGCGTGCTTTGCCACCTCTAACTACCCAGCAACATCTTACATAGTAGTTGTTCATTAAATGTATTTGTAAATTTGGTTATGCTGACTTGGAAACAGTAATGYTAAGCCTAAGGCAGGAAAAGTAATTAATGGTCTTGAGAAGGGGTGGGGCTTCCCAAGGCTACTCACCACAGCGGCTGGGTGTGTCCATATCTGTCCAGGAGCCGTTGGCCAGGCACTTGCGCACCTTGGGCCCCACCACCTCGCGCTCCCCCCGGCACACATACTCAATCTCATAGTCCACCGGCAGGAAGTTGATAGCCTTCACCTGGTCCCGAGTCAGGCCCCGGTACCTGATGCCCCCTTCCCAGGGAGGGTGTATGATCTGGCAACCTGAAGGGTGAGTTGGGGAGGCAATACTGAGAGGAATGGTGGGAAAGAAGGGAAAGCCCAACTTCTGCTGGGGAGGCAGGGAAAAGCAGGGTGTGGTCAGTGGACTGGCTGGGAACTAGGGGGAGGTTAGGGACTGGACGGCAGATGAGAGGGCAGATACAGAACCCTGAGCTAAAGGACAGTGAGTAATGGGCTAAGTTAAAGCTGACGACAGAGCCCACCAGTTGGGAGGGAATAGTGCTGGTTGGGGGTAATGGAGAAAAGCAATTAAGAAATCGTGAAGGATATGAAATATGGCCGGAGCTTGGGTTTAAAAAACGGGGGCTAAACGAGGATATTTGATTTAAATTAGAAAAAGAGGGGGACCTTACAAGACCATCTAAGTAACAAAGTGGGGCCAATGTGGGAAAGGGCAGTGGGTCTGACAAAATGATTCGGGGTCACAGAAAGGTGGTAGAGCCTAGTAATGTGGGGCAGAGAAAAGGGGTGCTAAGTAGTAATGTGGGGTGATAGAAAGGAGGTCAGGAGTAGTGTATAGTGGCGCGGAGTAAGGGTTGGCTATCAGGATGCTCTACAGGGCTGGGGAAATAGTGATGAGGAGCAGAAAGGAGGAGGTGAAGGGAAAGGGGAAGCAGGGTCGGATGAGGGCCCGAATCACGGAAGGGTGCACCTTCTGAGGTGGCGTTGGGGGTCTGCGYCCCGCCAGCGCCCAGGGGGCGGAGGAAGAGAGGCGCCAACAGCAGCAGCAGCAGCAGCATCTAAGTGAGAGGCGACCGTGAGGACCGGACCGAGCCTCGCCGGARCGGCCCTGCCCGACCCGACCTGGCCCGGCCCGGGGAGGCGACCTGGCCTCCCTCCGGAAGCCTTAGGAGCTCCGACCCCGCTCAGTTTAAGGACGAGGAGTGCGCCCCGCGGAGGAGGCGGGGGCGGAGCCCCGCACGGGGTGGGGGGAGAGGAGGAGAGAAAGCCTGTCCCCACCCTCCTCCTGCCTCCCTCGGCCCCCCACCCTCCCGGGACTCCACCTCTCACCACCTCCTCTCCCCCGGCCCCCGCGGCTCGCTGGAGCCGGGTTTACCCACGCTCCCGGGTTCGGCCGCCTTATCACTCCCCGTCTCCATCCCCGCAGTTCCTCTCCCCCAGCCCCGATCCCCGGCTCGGCCCTGCGCCCGCCGGTCCTCCCCAGCGCGCCCCTCTCCAAGCCCTGCTTCCCCGGGGCCCTGGCTCTTACCTCGGCGCGCCGGCCCAGCTCCCCGGCTCTCCGCGGGCCTCAAGGCCCCAGGCCCGGCCGCTCCTCCCCGCTCCCCCCTCCTTTCTCCTCCACCTTTCCCCTCCTCCTGTCCCTCCTCCCCTCGAATCCGGGCTTCAGCCCAGCCAGGGTCTCTCCCCTCCTCTCTCGCTTCCCCCAAACCCCACCCCCGTCTCTCCTTCCCCGGGGCGGCGGCGGCCGCGGGAGCGCGAAGCCGGGAGGGAAGGAGGCGGCGCCGGGGACCGGGAAAGCTCTCGGGCGGAGGGAAGAAGGAGGGTGCAGGGGAAGCAGGGCGGGGGGAAGAGAGGGGGAGACCAGGGAGAGGGCGCCTCCCACAACCCGAGCCCCGGGAGCCGCCCCGGATCCCGGCCCCGCCCTGGACCGCCCACAGCGCGGGGGGAGGGAGCGGTGGCTAGGCGCGGGGCTGAGAGAYAGAAGGGGGAAACTGGTGCTCACGCGCACGGGTGGGGACAGAGCACCGCCGAGCGACCTAGGGGCAASACTGCTGGAAACCGGGGTGGAGGTKAAACGCCCCCAATCAAAGACCAGGGGAGCTGGCGCTGAGACGGAGCTTAGGATGAAGGTGGAGAAAGACGGTTGCACAAAGAGAAGGCAACACTGGATCCTGGCGAGAGGAGAGAGGGAAGAAAAAGGCCAAGGGCCAAGAGGAGAAGTGAGACCAAGGGAGAGAAAGGAGAAGCCAGGGTCAGAAAGATACCGGGGACGAAGGGGGCCGCCGGGAGCTAACTAAGCGCGAAAAGAGTTGGGTGGGGGAGAGAGCTGGAAACCAGAGCGACTCCATGGTACAACAGCTCTGCTKCCACTCGCCTGCCTGCTCCGTGGAGTGAAGGGCTGGGGCTGATTGAAGGAGGACATCAAGGAGAGAAATTGAAATACAGAAAAGCGCGGGGTAAGGAGGTCATAGGAATAGAAACCTCCAGATGGGCGGAAGCCAATATTCTTGACTCCAACAGAGCCTGGCAATTAATAATTCTTGTCTAAGGTCCAACTGGAAGCTCTAAAGATRGTAGGGAAGTGCAGGCCTTTTGACAGCTCCTGAAGGCGTGTGCAGTGTTGTTATGGTCGTGGTTGTTGATGATTATGGACCTGAATTGGGGCASGGAGAGGAGAAGAACAAAAAAAGAAGAAAGAAAGCTTCCTGGCCAAATGCTGAGAGACTGACTAGAACGTAGAACCCAGGCTCTCAACCTTCAACCCTTTTTATAAGCATTTTGTAATGACCCTCTTCCCATCATGAATTGAAATTCATAGATGATATAACTTCCCTACATACATGACTTAAAAAAAATCACAATGCTTCCCTAGCTGTAATATAAAGGGGGGATGAAATAACAGTTACTTGTAATAAAATAATATAAATATTATTTTAATGTGTGAGTGCAGGGCCCAGCTTCACTACGTGCAGGGGGATGCTTGCACCCATCCATAGACTCACAGGGATGTAATTGCTACCAACACAAGCTAATACAGGTGCAGAGACGGTGACTCAACTACCTCCAGCATGTTGCCATCAATGAAAAGACTTAATGAAATGTTGAGCAACTCCTGGTAGCGAAGTCAATCTTCTCTACATTCACACAGAACAGTAATTGCATTCCTAGAAAGTTCACTTATATTTAGACCAATTTTTTTTTAAATTGTATTAAGTTCTAGACTCACATAATTAAACATGAGTTTTTACGTACATGAGTGTCCTAGGAGACTTCTGAGAATCTGGATGAAGGACAACTCTTCATTGTGCAAACTGTACTTTGAAGAATAGCTTATGCCCATGCCCTGCCAATAAATGACAATAGTGCCCCCCTCCACCACTGTAATTACAGAAAGGAAACCTGAAGTTTCAAAATGTTCTCTAGGGAGAGGTTGAGAGCCTTGAACTAGAAAAGAGCAAAAGAGAATGGGAAGGGTTTCTAACTACTCAAAATGATAGTCACCCTCCTCTGAGTGGCCTGTCCTCTCAGCAGGACWGAACCAAATAAATATAGTTATCAACTAAGTTAAAATAATTAACACCAGGGAAAATGTCATGATGATGAGAAGTTTCCTGTATTGCTTGGGGAAGTTTCCTGACTGCCCACTCTGCAGACTGGTCTGTCTGTCTGGCAGTACACTATCCCTCAGTGCTCCTGTTCGCTCAGAGTACTCACTTCCTAGACTCAGCAGGCCATTCTACAGGGGAGTACCTGAGCATGTGAACTCTCAGGAGCCACAAACCAGCTTTCAAAAGCCTTATCTAGCCAGGCATAGTGTTACACACCTATAACCCCACACTTCAGGGGTTGAAGCAGGAGGATCACAAGTTCAAGACCAGCCTGGGCAACTTAGAACTTGTCTTAAAAATAAAGGGCTGAGGATATAGCTCAGATGGTAGAGTGCTTGCCTCACATGCAAAAAGCCCTGGGTTCGATCCCTAGCACCAAAAAAGGAAAATTAAAAATTAAAYAAAGGGGGCTGGGGCTCAGGCTCAGTAGTAGCACACTGCCTTGCATGTGTGAGGCAATGGGTTCGAATCTCACTACCACATATAAAAATAAAATAAAGGTCTATAAACAACTAAAAAATTTAATAATAAAATAAAATAAAGAGCCAGGAATGTAGCCAGTAGAGTGTCCCTGGGTTCAAACCCCAATACCACACACACACACACACACACACACACACACACACACACACACACTTTATCTGGTCATTCATTCTTGCAACTTGTTTCTGGTTTCCCTGAAGTCTTTCCTGGAATGAGGGTTATAAAAGAAAAGACTCCTCCTTGAAAAGATAGTCCATGAAATTGAAAGTTCAGTGATATTCATTGCCATACTGCTGGTACTAAATCAGAAAAGGAAACAACATTAATGTCCAAATCACAAACACTGACTCCATAAATTAGAATGTGCCCATTCAAATGAACAGTTTTGAAAACATGTCTGAAAGAGTATCAAATGATATTGATATGGGAAAGTATGAGAATTTGGGGGAGGGGAGATAAGATATGGGATGTGTACAACTGTGGTAAATACAGATGTTAAAAAGCTAGAAAAAATGCAGAATGTCTTCTTTGATATAAGGGGGGCAACTCAAAACAGAGCAGCGAGGAAGAGCATGAGAAGAAGATTACCATTAAATAGGGATGAGAGGTGCATGGGAATGGGAGAGAGAAGGGGAATTGCATAGAAGATGGTAGGAGACCCTCATTGTTATGCAAAATTACATATAAAATGGTGTGAGGGGGAAGAAAAAAGAGAGAGAGAGAAACGTGTCACAGTAGATTGGGTGGAAAGAGGGGAGGGGAGGGGGGGATAGAAGGGCAGCACAATACAATAGACACTAGTATGGCCCTATGTATAAACGTGGCTGTATAACCAATGTGATCCTGCAATCTGTACATGCGGAAAAATAAGATTAAGATTACGTACCCCATTTGAATCAAATGTATGATATGTCAAGATCATTGTAATGTTTTGAGCAACTAATAAAAAAATTTTTTTAAAAAGCTAGAAGAAAATAGATCATTGCCCCTGGGTTATGAATTATTGTATAACTTTTTTGTTCAACATTTGTTCAAAATTTTCACAAGTGTGAAAATTATAAATCATTTTTAGAATTTATTTTTAAAAACCTTCCCATGCAAGTTGAATCAATGTAACCAAAATCTATTATTCACTGGGACAGAGGCATCTGAGAATACAGACAGGAGCTCCAATTATGCTCACGGTACAAACTGTTCACCCTTTAAATCCACCAGTAGCTTTAATTTTTTCCTTTCAYACTTCTTCATTTTCCAATGTCACTTTCAGGATTCCTGGTCCTATTTCTTAGGACATTTATTGATGTCCTCCTTACCATCACCACYACCACCCTACTTCAGTATCCTGACTCTACCCTCCCCAGAGCCAATTTGGGTTTTTTTGGGGGGAGGGGATGATATGGTGCTAGAGATGGAACCCAGGACCTCTCACAGCTAGGCAAGTGCTCTTCCACTGAGCTATACCTCCAGCCCTCCACTTCCTTCTTTTCCTTCACATCAAACAAAATTTTTCTCCTCTAGAAAGTTCCCTGGGCTTGATCCTATCCTCCTCTCAAAACTTTGTGCATTTGGCAATGCCATCTGCTTTTAGAGTTTTACTGTGGTGTATGGAAATGGTGGAACTCCTATTCAGATTACTTGAGAATGGCTAATATTGTTCATTTTATTTCCCATACTTTCCTTCTTCCTCTTTTCTGCCTAATCTTCTGCCCACCYCTGAGAGCCTATAGCCCAAAAATTGATATTGCAGAGCCCTGAAAATATATTAATCAAAGTAGTTCAACTTATTGATGATCAGCTAGATGCTAGGTACTCTTCAGGGAACATCTAATTTAATTCTCACACAAAGTAGATATTCATGTACTTAATTTGGAGCTGAGTAAACTATGATTTAGAGAAAAAAAGCAAGTCAGAAGTCACACAACTATAAAGTTAACAGAGTCAATACCTGATCTTAAGTCTGTTAGTCTATTTCTAAATTCTTTGCACTGAATTCAGAGATTTAATTTTAAGACTCTCACCAGTACCCACCACAAGGCATTCTCTATCAAAAGTCATAYTGTTCTTCTGTCTATACTTCCCTGCTGCTTTCTCACTTGAAGTAACAGTGGCCAGTTTATGAACAGAAGATATATGTGTCCTGTCCTATTGAGGTTCCTGTCTTCAGGAACAGTTATCTAACCTACTCAACACCCACCACATATACACTGTGGKAGAGATCAAACCCACAGTCTTGTGCATGTTAGGCAAGTGTTCTACCACTGGATAACATCCCCAGTTCCTCTACACAGCTCTTGCTATTTAGAAAAATGTATGAGGCAAAGGTGTTATAAATATCAAACATTGAGCCAATCTCAGAGACTCACAAAGCTGAGGCAGGAGAATCTCAATTCAAGGATAACTTCAGCAAATTATCAAGGCCCTACCTCAAAATAAAAAACAGAAAAGGCTGAAGATGTAGCTCAGTGGTAGAGTGCCCTGGGTTCTAGCCCTAGTACCCGGGGAGGGGGGGGGATGAACACTGAAGTTATTTAGACTCTAGGGTCA